TATCTTGACATTTCCAACTATACATTTTTCGTATTGGAATTGCATATCAAAGATGAGTATGCTCTAGCTGGGGCTGTACCTCAGCAATAGAACGCATGCCTGGCATGCTTCAGCCCCTGGGTTTGCTCCCTTTAGCACCACAAAAAAATAAAGATGAGTATGCTCATCCGAGAAAATGTCTTCAGTGAATAAAATGCCTCCAGTTGTATTGCTGAGTCTCTGTGAGACCAATTGTGTTCTGCAATTTGACACATGGCATAGTTCTTAATATTAGGTGCATGGTATGCTATAAAAATCTGGGCCTTCAAACCCCTACCAAGAGCAGTAGAATTGGGGAGGATACAATTATAGAATATATGTGCAGTGCCAATTGTGATTCTATGGGATATTGCAGAGCATCAATGTTTGGCTGCTCTTGTCTTCATTTGATGAGTATATTTGCATGAATGAATGTAAGAGATGTTTAATATACACTTAGTACATTCACTGCAGAGATTAAATAGAGGTTATTTTTGCATGATAAAATATAACTGCAAAGCAACTTTTTACCCCATTCTTCTGATTAAATCTATCTGATCCAACATTAAATTATTGTAAAATAAAGTGAGAAATGAGTTCAGGAGTCAATATTACCACCTTCAGGTTGTTACATTTGCCACCCCATTGTATTTTTAATAAAACAGCCAACTACCTGTAATACTTTTCAATTACTGTATAGTGTTAAGTCTAAAATCCTTACAGGCTTTTTCTTAAATGTTAAAATGTAATTATTATTTCAGAGAACTCACTGAAAATGTCCAAAGGGTATGATGTTCTGTCGTTTTCGTAACCAAATCATTTTTTGCTGTTGTAACGTAGCAGCGCAGATATTCTGCTATCTCATGGAACTGACTCAGGTGTGGACCACATCGGTGTGAACATTAATTTGAGGAGAGTAGCAGCAATAAGTGTGCAGTAGATAAGACTGACACTGTGGATATGACCTTTGACTCCAGTGATTGTAAAGACAGCAAGTCTGCAGTTGAATATGATAGAAATTGCTGAGAAAACCAAACCCTGGCCTCCCATTCATCGGTACTCTTACGCAGTGAAACTGTTTTGTGCCAGGACTCCCAGTCTTTCCTGGATACTGGCACCAGGTTACTTTTTAAAAGAAAATAAAAAGTAATTCCTTTTCTCTAAATTAGAATTTCAGAACATACTATGTCCCAGGTTCACTGAGTTTTGAACACAAAATCTTACTTAAGCATACCTTGTATTTAAAAGAATATGATCTGTGAATGAAAGCAATGTCCTATCAACAGGAAATATATCAGGAAGATGTAGGGGGATATGCACTTAATTAGGTGAATATAAATATTAAATTAAGTATAACTAATTTGCTAGTGCCATAGAACTATTTTTCTTTGGATTTTTGTAAATATAAAATGTTTACTTAAGCTAAAATTGGTATTTTTCACTTATTTGGTGTAATGTTGATTTTTGAGAAAAATTCCATTTTTACATAATATTGTCACTTAATCACTGATGCACCATTTCCTAATTTTAAAATATTTCTATTAATTTCTTTTGTGGTTTTCAAAATTATTTTAAAAGTAGTTATCAGACCACTTCAGGTGTGATATTTTAGAAAACATAATTGAACAGTAGATTCAGAGTTTTCTAATAATTTGCGGTACATTGTATTACATATTCACTTAGTCAAGCCTGAATTTGATCATTGAACAGACTATATATTGGGAATATTTTCCTATTTTAGTGGACAGTTCTAGTCTGTATCCTAAGACAATCATCTTATTTAGGTGTAGTGTTGTAAAGACATTGGTATCTTCAGGATTCATGGTTTTACTTTTCTCATAGGCTTATGGAATGAAAGTTACAGGCCGGAGTTATCACTTTTAGAATGAGAAAAGAGGTAATTAAGGCTAGTCTTATAAGTCTGCAGTTAAACATATTTTAATTTTTATGTATATCACTAATATTTTCTCATTTGAAACTATTGTGAATGTCTCTGATCAAAGTTGAGATTTCTAACATTACAGTTTAAACCATAAATTTTCTCAGACATCAAGGCAGTATGAATGACTATTGTAAAATATGAAATGATATATAATAATCCCCAAGTAAATATTTCCAAACCATGGAGAAATACCACTGTATTTTTTCAAAATCATGTTCCTAACCTCCTTTACATTGTTTTTTTAATTAAAAATATGCAGAAAAATTTGCTTAAAGTAGTGCAGTAATAATTTTTAGAATATTTCCTGAAGAATTGTCTTTAAACTCTCATTTATTGCAGCATTATTAAAATGACCTCCTAATAGTTCAGTAAAATAATTTCGAATTTGAGGTTTATGTCTTTTTATAGTTATCGAATGCATTCCTTTTGCCAAGTAGACCATATCACTAGTTTTCCAGCTGTTTTTTGTTTCTAGTAAACCTTGCTGTTCAACTATTAGAGAGTCCTATACTTTGCAGCATTCTTCCACTTGAGGTAGAAAGGTTTTAAGTAATAGGAAAGGAAGGTACAATGTCCTAACATTTTCACAGCAGTAGAGTTTACACATGAAGAAATTTGTCCAAATAGGTTATCTTCTTTGTGTAGCCCCAGTATTAATAGCGCTTGCATTAATCGAGTCAGATAAAGCACTTATAAATCACTTTTTACTTTGCTCCAAAGATGTTTCTAATTTCAGGCCACTTTATTATTTTCTCTGAAGCATTATCATTGTAAGGTTGTGTATTGTTTCTCTTTATTCAGAGCATCACAAAGTTCATTTAGTCAAGAAGGAGTTATAATAAGTAGATTTTTTCCCCCTGAAAATAATGGTGAATCTATTGTCTACATTATGACTATTAGGCAGAAATACACTTGTTTAAATCATAGTAGAAATTACATTTGGGGGATATAATTACTTGACTTTTGGAGTGTGAAATATTCTTTAAAAATTGTGCTTATCTGTAACAAATGTTATAGAAGTATAACATGATAGGGACTACAGTTATATTTATTAGCTCTCTTCAAGAGATTGAAGCACAATGATTTTCATGTAACAGTCCTTATCCAAGTGCTGCTAATCTGTCATGCATATAATGAAAGCTACTTGGTTACCTATCTAGCTATTCACAGATCACTGTATCTTCGAGACATAGTCTTGTTCATTTGTATTATATCTTGGGTATTGTGGGTTAATACTTTAGAACAGAATTCATCAACTCAACTCTTAGTAAACCATTTGGTTTCATTAGGTTTTATATGTGTTACCAGTAGAATAAATTTTGAAGGGGCCATTTATTACCAATGATTGTGGGAAAATTATATTGTCAGTATCACTTTAACATTTGTGGTGTTGTAAAGTCTCGTCTGATGGTGTTTCTAAATTGCTTAAGCCATACATTATCTTAAACAGGATGTTTTTTGTTTTCCTTTCAAGAAGTCTTTCTGCTTTGTTATGATTAATACTTAATAATTTTAGAAATTGAGAAGTTCTTGAAACATTTTATTTTCTTGAGTTCATCACATCTGGCTCTTCTATGTAATTTGTCATAAAAGATAGCAAGCCGCTTTTCACTACTTCACTAAATGAATTTCAAAGTAAACACTGTGATTCTGCAGAGCAGATTCCGTAGGCTTTCCAATTTTTTTTTTTTTTTCCTGTTACACAGTGCCTACCACCTTGAGGGCACTTAAATACTAGAAGAATGAAAGTTAAATGTTGTTTCGATGTTTGTTAAGATAACAAGATTACAGATTATTTGATTTTTGTTGTCAGTGTATTAAAGAAAATTTTCCATTGATAAATGCTCTCTAGGAATGTGACTACATTCATCGGGTGTGAACTCTTGCAAATGAATTTTGTATCTTGAATTCACGTATATATTAAGTGTATCATCAATATAAAAATAAACATTATTTGCTTAAAGTGTTGAGGTACTTCTTCAGTATCGTTGGCAACCTAAGGGCTAAGATGTCACGGTTTTCGTCTTTCAAATGATGCCTCAGATACATTCCAGTACCTTAGGGGTTGTGGATTCCGTGCTTACTCTAGTTTCTGGATTTCTTGTGCGTCCTGATTTTCATTTTTCCTTGCCTTCCCTCCTAGTGGTCAGAACTAGGACGCTCAGAGGAAGAGGTTGTTGAACAATCAGATGGAATCAGCTGACCCTTGTGCTGCTGGGTGTGGGGCATGTTAAATTCTCTAAAACAAAATGCGTGGCTTGGGACTGAGGAGCCCGGAGATCTGACTTCGGTTACTAACTTGCAGTGTGACTGAACAAGACAGTTTTTCCTCTTTGGACTTTATGCCTTTGTTACATTATATAACCAGGGTAAGGGTCTGAAAACTCAGTTGTTAAAAGTGTGTATACCGGGTTGGCATATAAAATAAAACAACAGGAGATCCTGGACCCAGAAGATAAAACACTAGCCACAATCTGAAAGGTCCCAGTTCTAGTTTGTGGAGTCACAAGTTTCTGTGATTACCAACGCATAGTGACGAGTAAGCTGCCCAGGTTGCAGAGAAATGGAGAGGCAAGGTTGGCGCCTGGCGGGGCCGCGCGGCCACAGCCCAGGACTTCTACTTAGCACGGCTCCCACCTGCTGGGGCACTGATGGCCACGAAGTTCCTCCCATTCATACCTCTTTGCATCAACCTCTTTAATGGGAAAAGACCAAAAAAAAAAATAAAAAAAAAAAGGACGACTAAAAATGGGTGACGTGGCGAGCCAGCCTGCGGAAATTACCCGGGCAACAACCGCACCCCCCAGCACTTCTGGCCCAACTACCTCCTGAGGTTTGGGCTGTAGCCGAGGCGGGGCGCAGGACGCATGCGCCCGGCCTGCCAACCCCGCGCAGTCACTTCCGGCGCGCTAAGGATTACGGTTCCGGGTCGCTTCTCGGCTCACCGGCTGCG